CGAGTATTAAAAAAAATACTTTTATTGGGGGCGCTAACATCTCTTATCACAATCCATACATTCCTCCAGTGTGTTGAGCACATTTGCACATATGCCGCCATCATCATTTTCTTTTCTTTTTTTAAATCATTTTATTGGGGGCTCGCACAACTCTGATAACAAACCATACATACATCCATGTTTCAAGTACATTTGTACATTTGTTGTCATCATCATCCTCAAAACATTTGCTTTCTGTTTTAGCCCTTGGTATCAGCTCCTCATTTTTCCCCTCCCTCCCAACTGCCCCTTCCTCATGAACCCTCGATAATTTATAAATTATTATTTAATCATATCTTACACTGTCTGACGTCTCCCTTCACCCACTTTTCTGTTGTCCATCCCCCAGGGAGGAGGTTCTATGTAGATCCTTGTAATCAGTTCCCCCTTTCTACCCCACCTTCTCTCCACCCTCCCAGTATCGCCACTCTCAGCAATTGGTCCTAAAGGGATCATCTGTCCTGGCCTCCCTGTGTTTCCAGTTCCTGTTCAGTTTTTGTGGTACAATTAGGTGCCTCAGCTGATATTCAGGTCAGCTTATACTCGAGTATATATGGTAAGTAGCATGTGCCATAAACTACATCTTTGCACACCTGTTGACTAGAATCTAAGGAGACCTGTGATGAGCTACAAGATGGGGATGCAAATAATAGATCATGGGACTGGGTATGCTTCGCCACAAAACAGTCTCTGAGTCTCGTCTAGTTGCATTTAAAAGCCTCACTGAGAAAAAGCTCTCAGTATCTCCACCTAGAGTCACACATCTTAGCCTTTAAAGTTCAGAGTGACTGGACTTGATTATAAAAAACGGCTTTAATCACAAGCATGTGGCATCAACTATTTCTATACCTACTTATCAAACGTATGGCATCTTAGAAGTGTAGCTCTTTCCCCACTGTGAATACTCTCACTGCCATCGAGTCAAATCTGACTCACAGTGGCCCCCTTTGATTTCTGAGACTATAACTATTCACGGGAGTAGAAAGCCCCATCTTTCTCCCTCAGAGCTTCTGGTGGTTTTGAGTTGCTGGTGGCTTTGAACTGCCAACCATGTGGATCACAGACCAACATGTAACCACTACACCACCAGGGCTCCACACCTCTACCAATAATTTTAGAAGGATCTATTCTCCTATTGAAGTGGAACATGTTTGAAAGTCCCCTGTGTTAGGGTTTGTATAGTGCCTAAATTCATAGACACTCGTGTGTATAAGAGTTTGTAAGAGATGAAAAAATAATAATAATTTATAAATTATCAAGGGTTCATGAGGGAGGGTGGGGGGCAGGGAGGAGAAAATGAGGAGCTGATATGAAGGGCTCAAGTAGAAAGCAAATGTTCTGAGAATGGTGAGGGCAACAAATGTACTTGACACAATGGATGGATGTATGGATTGTGATAAGAGTTGTATGAGCCCCCCAATAAAATGATTTTTTAAAAAGAAAGAAAGCACCATTGCAGGAATCTTAATAAAAATAATAGAGAGTTTTATATGAAAGAGCTATTGTATATTGAGACAACATCCCAGCCCAGTCCAGATCAAGTCCTTAAGTCCAATATTTCCCCATATTTCAATACAAGTCCATAAATTCCTCTTCAGACTCATGCAACACATGCAATGATGCCAAATGCAGGAAAATCACAGGCCAGTGGGTGGAAAGTCTTGTGGATCCAGTGTCAGTGGAAGCATCTCAGTGCTGGCAGGGGTCTCTACGTGGCCTTCAGTTCCAGGGCGCTAGCTAGCTCCATATGTCTTCTCAGAGGAATGTCTCTCAGGGAGTGTGTCTGTGTCCTACCTCCAGCGAGCTATTTATCTCCTTAGCGCCTCCAAATGTGGTCATCAAGCTGTGACCTGATTGACAGGCTAAACTCCATCCTTTCACTCTTAATTCTCTCAAATTGGCAACAGATTATGTAACTACCACAGGCTTTTATGATGCCCAAGAGTTTCACCCCCTTCATTCAGCAGCCTAGTCAGCATTAGCAGTCTTCTTCCATCTGTTAGGTTTCCTTATATGACAGCAGCTGGAGGCACATGTTTCCTGCTTGCTTTCTCAAAGGTTTTTGTGATGTTCTGTGTCAAGTTCAAATACATAGGGTTTCTACTCGGGCACAGAAGCAAGTCATCATCTTCATCAACCTGTCTCCCATTCTCCAAACTCATCAACTGTCTTTCTAGTTGTCTTCCTCTACAGTTTCCTCCTATGCATTAGAACCTCAGAAATTTGATGACTCATCTCTAATGGAAATGAGCCGTGTGGTTATCATAGAGGAGCCTAATTAGCAGCATTTGTTTATTTGTTCATTCTGGAAATCTGGAATGGCCAGCACCAGCTTGATCTTTCTGTGAACCTGGTCACGCCTTTTGTAGCTTTACTACAAAAGAAATCGAAACTGCCTGGCACCTGAACTCACTCTTCTTACAAATACCTTCTCCTATGCCTATTGATAAATATGCTACTTATCTCACATTTTATGGACTATAAGGCATGCTGGTGGTGCTGTTGGAAAGCATTGGGTGGCTAACTGCAAAGTCAGAGGTTCAAACCCACCATGGGAACAAGGTGAGGCTGTCTGCTCCCAGAAATATTGACAGCCTCAGAAACCCTACGTAGAGTTTCCATGACTTGGAATTTCCTTGATGACAGTGAGTGGGTATGGACAAAACTCTGGTTCTTTTCAGATAGGCACCTGGTTTGAATAATGGGGGGAATGTGAAGCTTTCCCATGCCAGTTCACTCTCTTATTGGATGCTGTAGTGCAGTGATTTTTTTAATATGGGACTTGTAGTCATAGTTTTTATAATATCCACCAAATGAGTGAATGGGACTATGCAAATATGAGGTGCCTATGTCCCTCCCCATGCCAGTCTCAGGGCACTGGATAGCTTCCTAATGAAGTAAATCATGTACATTTGACCCTTGTGGTGGGACTAAGCAGTAAGGTGTACGGAACCCTTACATGGGGATTGGTCCATTTTCTATCCCTCTAGACTTAAAATGAGCCATCCCAGAAGTGGGAAGTATAGATCTAAATATCATTAAGGAAAAAAAAATGCTAAACAGGAGTAAAGTGCATCTTTTAGACCCAGGATTTATGTGCTGAGCCTCCCAGAGAGCTGTGACACCAGAGATCGCAAGAGGTAGTAAGGGGTTGTGGCCGAGAAGTGCTGGTGCCTGAGGCGGCAGAACTGAGAGCAGGGCACAAGACAGAGCAGCAGTCTTCCTCGCCTCCAGAGTGAGAAAGCTGAGTGCCTGTGGGCAAAGGACTTGCTGGCAATGCGAGGTGCCTCTGCGTACGTACTGGCAGAGCTCAAAGCACTTTGTAGCACTTGCTGAGCAAGGTGGGCCCAGGTTGAAGGGCCACAGTGCCAAGCGGTTGAAAGGGACTGAGAGAATATTGAACAGTGGAGGGATGTGGAGATATGATTCCAGTGAAGCACGAGTGGAAGGCTGATGATTTTTATTTATTCTCTTCTTATGAAGTTAGAATCAGACACCTCCCCTGTGCCATCGCTACAGCCGCAGTATAAGTTTAAGTAAGTTTTATGTGACTGTGAAAATCTCCAAGGCTCAAAAGTTAATCAGTATTTCTCAGCCCAAGTGTCCATCAATAGATAAATGGGAAATAAAATGAGGGACATGCATACAGTCGAATATTATTCAGCCATAAAGAGAAATTCATGGATGCTACATAAATTATACATAATGGATGTCTATCAACAAGGATGAACCTTGATAACATTATTTTAACTAATGAAAAAAGCCACTTACAGAGGATAATTCAAACTCTCACCCCTACACTCCACTGCCATAAAAGAAAACACACATGCACGTGCACACACAAACTAAACCTATTGCATCAAATTGATTCTGACCCACAGCTACTTACAGGATGGAGTAGACCTGTCCCACAGGCTCTCTAAGGTTGTAAAGCTTTAAAGAAGTTATCACATCTTCATCCTGCAAAACACTAATTCTTTGGTTACCAGTAGAGCACTTTAACCACTGCACCACCAGGGTTCCTTTAAATGATCTCACTTATGAAATATCTAGAGTAGGCAAATGCATAGGCAATAAAATGTATTTGTGGTTAAAAGAGGCAGGAAAAATGGGGTCATTACGTAGAGGCATTGAATTTTGTACAGGGTGATGAAAAATTTGGAAGCAGTCATATTTTTGCACAACACTTTAATGTAATTTATATCACTAAATTATATATTTCATTAAACATGGTGGAAATGACCCGTATTTTATTATATATATTTTGCCACTATAAAAATAGGTTAATAAATATTTTTCATCTCATAGCATGCTTTTCATCAATTTTAAAAGGAAACATGGGGAGGAGGGAAAGTAGAAATGTATTCTTTGCATTTCCTTGAAATATATGCATACATGTTCATGAAACAGTGATCACAATGGATAGACTCATCTAGAAATTAACAATGACACAGGTAGGGGCATATATTACATTGCTTTTTGTAATCGTGAGTTTTTGTTGTTGATCTTGATGACAAATGTACATCATTTAAATTCCAATGTATGTATCTGACAACCTACACTTCGGGCAGTGCACTGTCACATTCAGAGAGTTCACATGAGTCTTCTTAATCTCAACCTTGAAAGATGTGGGACAACACTTCCCGTGCTGCTTCTCTCCCCAGCACATGTATGCATTTATCTGCTCTTGGAGTCATCTGCCTGTTGATTTTCTCGTCCTCAACAATGGGTTAGCCATTCACATGAAGACATTTTTCTTTCTTTCATTTGCCAGTCTGTACAAAGAACTGCATACTTTGTTTCATGCTGTTAACATGCATTATTCAGAAAGCGATGATTGAGCCAATGTGGCTCCATTAGTCCAGGAAGTGGCATTTATGTATAATCCATGTACTACTTTTAAAGCTGTAAAATTGTGGACTTCAAGGCAGACAATAATCAAGCCTAACTTCTCTCTCTTTTTTTAGCACACTGTTCTTGGAGGTACTGTGATACCAGGTCAATGAGTGGAATGGAAGGAGCACGTTATTGTTTCATCGCCTAATTTAAAAAATTTTCATTTACTATATTGTCCTTGGATAAAGGATGTATCAGATATTAAATTGATTATAAAAAATGCTACACTTGATATCACCCAAAAGGCCAAGAAGAAATAAACCTGGCCTCTCTTGATTGGAGCTTTAATTTTTGGCATTACAAATTTTAAATGCTTCTTATGTATATGATTACAAAATCAAATAATATGATAAAATATTGGAATGGGAAAATAATACCTTCTCAGAAGCAGAGTCAGATTATCATTAAGCATGCTCTTCACTACAAAATAAGTAAATCAATGTGAAATTGTTTATTACAGATAAGTAAGTAAGCAGATGCTTAACTCTGGTTTCTGGGCATTCGTCCTTGCCAGGGATTATAAATTTAACAAGAGACTTTAACGATGTAGGGAGGTCCTGGGGGCTTGGAGAGAGACAAACGGTGGCAATACCTGGAAGCAGAATCTTTGCTCCCATGAAAACACGAGAAACTGTTTACTCCAGGTTAATAAATAACAAAGCCCTTGCTTATCCAGTGTATTGGATAATCCAACACTGATCCTGAGATTCACATTAATCGAATCTTAGAAAGGCTTCGACTTGTGTCTGGGACACATGAGTCATTCATTAGTTCATTATCACAACAATCAGTTGGAAATGATTGTAAATGCTTTGATTTAATTGCTTAAATTTGGCTGAACTATTTCCAAACTGGTTTTGCTCCATTATCCCTCTGAAAATGCTTTCATCTGTGATCCAATTTTGTCTCCTCTTGTTAAAAGGAACAACAAAAATAACTAAAGATCTAAGCTACTCTGCTGAGGTTCATGAGATCACTGGATCAGTAAAGTGTTCTTCACATAACAATCAACCCAAGTCATTGACTTTTCGCAAGAGGCATAGATTTGTTATCATTAAGTTCCACAGAAATATGATATGCAGTGGACACAACCTGTTTGCCCTTATTTATGGATGAAGATCCAAGACAGTAGCCTTTGGTATGGATTACTTCTCAGCTAAAGAAAATACAAATCCTCGCAACTGGACCAAAATCATCACAAAACCAAAAGAAACAGCTCTAAACTCATTGCCATCGAGTCAGGGCTGACTCATATCAACCTCCCTGTAGGTTTCCAAGACTGTAACTATTTACAGAAGTAGAAAATCCAGTTTTTCTCCTGTGGAACTGCTGGTAATTTTGAACTGTGGACCGTGGGGATGGCCACCCAACTCATAATCAGGGCTCCTTAAATAAATAGCATGCATGATAAATGGAGAAAAGATTGAGGTTGTCATGGATTTTATTTCACTTGAATCCACGGTCAATGCCAATGGAAGCAACTGTCAAGAAAGCAAAGGCATGTTGCATTGGTCAAGTCTTCTGAAAAAGACCTCTTTAAAGTGTTAAGGAGCAAATATAATAACCCCGCCCCCTTTTCTTTAGGGTTAAGGTGACCCTGAGCCAAACCATGGCATATTCCATGACTTCATATGCATGTGAAAGCTAGATAATGAGTAAGAAGACCATAGAGGAATGGATGCATTTGCATGTTAGTGTTGTCAAAGAATTTTCAAATTACCATGGACTGCCCAAAGAACTAACACATCCTGTCTCAGAAAAAAATATAACCAAAAGAGCAAGGATGGTGAGACATTGTCTTGTGTATGTTGAACATGTTATGAGGAAGGACCAGTCCCTGGAGAAGAACTTCATGCTTGGTAAATAGAGGATCAGTGGTAAAAAGGAAGTCCATCAGGAGATGGAATGACACAGTGCCCGAAATAATCAGCTTCAACACAACAATTGTGAGGATGGCTCAAGATCAGGCTGTGCTTTGTTTGCAGAGTTGCTTTGAATTACAACAAATTTGATGGCCCTGAATGACCTAGTGGCAAGTGGAGGGTGGGAAAAGGTCTTGTACATGATCGAAGCAGGCCAGCACAACTTATCTTCCTTTAAAGGCAATCAATATATGTTTTTGGTTTTTTTAAATCATGATTGCTAATGTAGAGGTCTGAAGATAAATGCCAAAGTAAACAGTTCAAAGATATGGAAGAGTTTGCCTCTGACGAGCAAGAAATGGGGTCTGGAACTGAAGACCTCCCAGGTTTAGGCAATAGACCTTGTAGGTTTAATTCTAGCAACTAGATAGTGGATTGAAACCCACTGAGAGGTTGCTCCAAATGATGACCAGGTGTTTGGTTTCCAGAGGATGCCAGTCCTGTACATTTCTGATGCTCTGTTTTGAACCCAATATCCTTGAACTCATTGAATTTAAGTAGCCACAGAAAATCCATATTAGATTCTAGTTAGTTTTCCTCAATTAAGAGGTTGTTGGAATTGTGTTATCAATCAGCAGAGTCTCCAAACCATAGTACTGTGAATTTTATTTGAAGCACCCTCATATTTCATTACCTGAAAGGATGACCAAGCCTGGATTCTATGACCATTCAGTAAAGTAGGAATAGGCATGGAAGTTCAAATACAGACAGACAGCATCATATCCGGAGCTTTACATGTTTCATCTCTTTTGAAATCCTCACAGCGACACTATTGAGTAGGTGGGGTTGTTTTTGTGCAACAGAGAAGGAAACTAAGAAGGGAATTCATGAAAGGCATGCAGTAAAACAAGCCACGGTATGCTGGGATTTGCACTTACGGGACCTGACTCCGATGTGATGCTCCATTTGGTCCTTTTACTAGTTTTGAATTTAGGCCTTTAAGAGAACTTGATATAATGAGGATTGACAGGCATGGAATGATATTTGAGGTGATATTTGGAGCCTTCAAAGTGATTTTCAATGCACAGTTGATCTTTTCATTTCTGGTGGGAAAACAGTTCCTTCTTTGACAGTGAGTAGAAAAATCTGGTACTTAGAGATATTTGCTTTACATCTTGATCATAAGAAATGCAGCTAATTGCAAATAGAGATCAACCTGTCCAGAAAACATACACTCAACCCCCCAAATACATTACCAGATGCCACAGAGATCAAGGATTTGTGAGACAACTAAGAAGGCTCTTCTCACAGTAATTCCTTGTTGATGGGTTAATCTCTGGCTCTGACAGACTCTGAGACTGTGGAGATTGAGAGGAAACAATAAGTAATCTCTCTTGATATTGGCAAAGTCTTGTCATTTCACTCAGCACACACACTCGTGGGAAAGCAAGCTTTTGCTGTTATCCTGGTGAGTAAACACAAGGCAGTCACAATCTACATGTCAGTTGAAGTGCAAGCTTGTTTCTAAGGAAGAAAATGTAACCATGTGCAGTTGGTTATCAGGGAGGGAACCAGAGAAAGAGTGGTCAGGCTTGGTGCCAAAGCTTTGCATCAAGAAATTGCAGACTGGCTAAAGCAGTGGTTCTCAACCTTCCTAATGCCTCATCCCTTTAATACAGTTCCTCATGTGTGGTGACCCTCAACCATAAAATTATTTTTGTTGCTACTTCATAACTGTAATTTTGCTACTGTTATGAATCGGGCGACTGCTGTGAAAGAGTTGTTCGACCCCCAAAGGGGTCACAACACACAAGTGGAGAACCACTGATCTAAAATATAAAGGCCTCATTCCAGAGTGCCAAACCTTGAGGGCAGAGTTCCTGCACGGAGCAGCTCATTCCCAGAGAGGACTGCAGGGCTGGCCTCAACTCGAGACATCCTGTCCGTAGATGACAGCACTATAGAGGGTGGCTTTGAAGACATAGTTCGGGGAGTCTGTCTGATGAGCACACATTGGGGCAAACCAAGACGAGAGTGCAACAGACCGGCGAAGGGAGGGAAGTCTCAAAGTGCCCGAGACATCCTGATTGTGGACTTCTGACTTAGGGACAGCATTAGGCACCTCATCCGAACTGCTTGGGCATTACTCACTAGGAGGCCATGCTGAAAGTCTAAATGGGGCGGGGAGAGGGGGGGAAGGGCAGCACTGGATCATTCCATCCCTGACTACAATTAGAGCAATAGAGACCTGCAAGGTGTGTGACTATCAGCCACACAACTGAGGACTAAAAGGGTATAAGTGGTGTTAGGTTAGAAGGTCCCGGGATATGGAACCCTGAAAGAAAAGGGGTTGGACTGAGGGATTATAACAGGTCCTGCCTGCTATTTCGTAAAGAAATATTCATCTACTCTGGGTCAGGACATCAGTTAGACTTGGAACTATTTATATGGCTTTTTTCTTTTCTTTTTTTGGTGTGTGTGTGTGTGTGTGTGTGTGTGTGTGTGTGTGTGTGTGTGTATCTATATAATATAGTTGGAACAGGCAACCTCACAAAAACAGTGCTGGGAATGATAGTGGGGGTGGTACATGGGAGCGGAGGAGGCAGGGGGAGGTGAGTGGTGAGCCAATAATGACAATAATAACAGGGCCAGGGGAAAAACAAGGGTTATAAAAATGACAGTGAGGAGGATCTAGTGTTCCTAGTCGAGTTAGATAATATCAAAAAGTGTCTGAGAGGAATTACTGAGAGGTGAATAGTGGGTAAGCATAATTTTGGGGCAGGAGGTAAGAAAAAGAGGAAATAAGAGGAAAGCAAAAATATATAGATAGGTATAAATATAGATATATAATTATGTAATATAGGTGTAATTGTATATACATGCACATATATGTAAAAACAATAAGGAAGCAGACGGACTTTGGGCCTCTACTAAAATATCACCCGAGTATAGTTTGTTCTAATAATATGGCATTGTATGATATTCACCTTCCTGACACAATTGCTGAAGACAAAATGGTGCATAAGCAAATGTGATAAAGAAAGCTGATGGTGCCCAGCTATTTAAAAAATACAGCATCTGCGTCTTAAAAGCTTGTAGTCAAACAAGTGGCCATTGAGCAGGGGAGGAACAAAGCACATACGAAAGAATCATGCCAGCCTGTGTGATCATGAGGTGCCGAAGGGAATAGTTATCAGACGTTCAAAAACAAGCAATCAAATGGATGTGAAGTTGTGTGGGCAAAGTGGAGACCCCAAATCCACCTGAAAGACAATTGGACAGACCCTCACCGATGGGCCATGTGGTGGGGATGAGGAATTCAGGCTCCAGTATAGCATTAATGAAGCAGATGACTATCCTCTGGTTCTTTAATATTTCCTCCCCTTACTATTTTTT